TGAGTCCCGATTGCCGGGCTGGAGTCTGAAGGACAATGAACACGTTTGCTTGGATACACTGCTGACATGGCTAGGTGCTGGCCCCAATGGCATTGGTGTTGTGAGTTTATTTGTCCCTCCCCCTCCCGCTTGTCTCCCCTTCCAATCACGTTCCTATACATGACGCTTAGTATGACACTAAGCATGATATCACGTTTTTGCTTTGATGTTGCGTTCTGTATTGTTTTGTATCTCTTCATGTATTTTTGTGTTGCGGCATTTAATTCGAAGTGTGTTTATTAACTTCAGCTAATGTGTATTGTTGAGGATGCTTCTGTGGAATTACATCACCGTACTTCTAGCTTCGTTCGACCTCTGCCTTTACCCCTACGACTTCACAGCCCTCTTTATTTTTATTTATGGGACGTGCGGTGATTGTGCGCCGCTGCATTAAGCGTGCGATAAATAGGTATTGCTTATCACGCTCCCACGTAGCACGTGTTCTTTGTGGTCATGCTTGATCGGACAGCAACGATATATCTAAGTAATGACAGGAAACTGTTTCCTTTGCTTCAGGATTTAGTAATTGTACTTCTTTACATAATCCATTTATCCGTCATGAATCGAAAATGCAATCCTTTATACCCCATTTCAGCCAAGTGCCCTCTAGGTAATCCACTTTGGGTTAACCGATTTGTCCAACCGATCGATGTTACTAAAGTGCACCTGCTCCCATCGTTACACCGCTAGTCTTTCACTAAGCGGGTTTATCCATCAAGCACATAACAGTTTATGCAGTTTTATCTGCATCACTTTATCTCTTTGTTGATGTTCGCTTGGACCAACCGTTTATTGATTTAGAGATAATTCATCACGATCCACTCTGTCAGCAGGCTTTGGCAAGTCTGGAAAAGCACCAGACAGCGTTGTTTCGACCTTCTGGGTCTCACCAGTTGTGCGCCTTCCATTGGACTCCTGCCGGGTTTCCTACCCCATGACTTCTGGATGCCAGCAGCTAGTATCACTTCGCCATTTATGACAGCCGCGGACCTGCATGATTGACAGTTGACCATGATTGTCAACTCCATGCACTCATCTACTTACCTGCTATTAACTGATGCATTAGTGATATTGCCTTGGTAACAACCCCGTCGATTTAATGCCCAGCTGTCCTTTCCAAAGTTTCAGCTACCAACACGTGATACACTGTATATACCTCCAAAAATGACTATTGCTAGAGGTGAAATCTCTATCTATTGCAGCTTCATGTACCTGTTTTCGTACTTATCATTCAAGTCCACCAGAAGAAATCTACACCAATTAGTCCTGGTTCGCTTGGTTTGATGAAGCTTTTATGTTGGAAGCGTAACACAACCCAGTCGATGCACAAGACGATTGTCTTCAAATCTTTCTTACCTAACGAGTACTTTATTGATTCCCAACGTACCGCGAGCTCTTGCGTGTATCGGTTGCAAGTGACAAAATTCGCTTGGATGATTCGAGTAACGCGTTTCTAATGGGATCGAATTGACACAAAGCAGGAACTGGATAACGGAGCTATTCGCAAACGAATAAATAAAAATAAATAAATTGTTTATTCTCGACAGTGTGATGCACGCCTGCTTAGGCATAATCATGTTAATACAAACATGAATGATGGATAAGTGTATAAAAATATTGCAGAATTACCGGCAACATACCGGATCCTTGTGCGTTTGTGTATATAAGTGAGCATTAACAATACGTATCTCAACATCTAGTGCTTCTAACTCAAATTAGATACTTGGACAAGCGATTCGGTCCGAGAGCCAACAAGCTAGACATCAGAGCTACGAAGCGACGGCATGTTTCTAGGACGGGTGAAAGGATTAGCTTGGTAAATAACACGAGTGGAACGAGGGATGGGTGAGCATTAAGGTGGAATGAGGTCAGTCTGTTTGGAACATCCACCAATTGAGTTATGGAGACAGGAGTGGAGGGATGATCATGATTGGCGCGGAACGGGGGGTCAACAGACAATTATAATTGCTGCGGAACAAGTGTAGACGCAGTTGGGAGTCTTGGAAAGGCGAAGTGAACTCTGCATGCCGTTCATAAGAAAGTACACACAAGGCATGGTGATTAACATGTTAATGCACGTGGGTTGGGACGACTGTTTTGTGATTGGGTTTGATGATTGCAAACACGAGACATGGTTGACATGTTTGGACAGAGAAAATGAACATTGAGGGTATTTGTAATCGCAGCGTTCGTGTATCCTACACATCAGTAACATGTATCCGTGCATCATCGCCACACAATAACTGCTGCCAGATGACCACTGTGAGGCACGAAATACAAGTGGAGACTACTGATGAGTTGGAGCACTTATGGTGAAAGTTTGTTAAACTCATCCCAGCAGCAGGGATTAGTTCGATAAAATTTCCTCCCAAATTCTACTACTCATCAGCAATCAGAAATTCACTCTAACCTCCTTTGATCGCAATGGGTACATAGCTGCTGTTGAGTGGAAGTCCTGATCTCTGAATGCTAGCCACTCTTTTCCGCAACAGTAGTAACGTGCATAGCAGTGGAGGAAGGGTCACACTATATCCCAGTCATTTTGCAATTTAACACGGTCTGCCATCGTCTCCCATGGCTCAGCGACATAAGCTGCTGGCTAGTTGGCGCAAGCTTCGGTTTCGGTTCCTGATGGCGCCGGGGGATGCGCATCACTGACGAGCATTCTGATGCTTTCCTGAATTGATGCTCAGGCTATCTGGTTAGTGCGCTGCTGGGATGAATTACATATAAGTGGAAAGAGCCAGGGTTACAAACAGTTTTCCAATTTACAACGTGGTCTTGCTCCACATGAGACGGATATTAGCAAATAGGTCAGAAACCGGGAGTAGTGTAACCCTGACGGTCATCAGTCTGTAGTAACACGGAATCCGTCACCCCTACCCATTCTCTCACTACGCCATGTCTATTAGGGTCTAACCTACCGGATTTAGTTGCAAATGTCACACCGCTCCATGATGGAGGCTTCTATCAGCACGCCCCGTCCTTTTGGTTGAATTCGTCAAAATGTTCTCGTCGTGTGATTGCTAAACCGCTTCGACAGACGCCTCACCGAGCCATGCGAGATGGGGTCTAGCTACTTATCCATGAAATGACCATCACCGAGTGTGGGAAGTGGGTGATGTAACTGGCTTAGGCGATGTGGATACATCAGATAAGCTATGTCACGAAGCGCCGGCTAGCAGACTTCAGCATTAGTTACCTGTTATTCCCATCGGATATGGTCACCGGTTCGCAGACACCTTTGCCTCAATTTCCTCAGTGCGCGGTAAGTTTACTCATATTCCATGCATTAACACCGAATGCTTTGGTAACTTGTGCACCCCACTCTTGATCTGTAAGATGACGTCTCTCTGCATCGAGAGATCCCATGAGTTTTTCTCACGCTCATATTAATCAATTCGCTTGTCTTGTGACCATAGATGTCACAGTTACCAATATAAATAGACCTGTTGTCCAATGTCATGTATCTTCCCTCCCAGCCACCTCGAAATTGGCTGCACACCAATGTCAGTGTACCTTCACACCGGTATTAGTGCAGATCCACCGAACCGTCCGTCGCAGAACTCGGTCCCTCAAAGACAAACGGTTTATTCGACAGAGCAGGCTCAGCAAAAATGACAACTTGATTAGGTTGTAGAAGCCTTGATATAAATAACTAGCTCACTTCTATAACTAAAGACGTTTCCGCATTCACAATATTCTTCCTTTGAATCAGTCAACTAAACTTACTCCAACGCTGCGAAATACGAACCAATCAGCGTATAGGTGAAGATGCGTAGGCGTCCAATTATCGGCTTCGTTCGCTTGCGGCAAGCTAGCCGCTTACTTCATCACGTAAATCCGGACCGTTCTTCTGCTTGCATACTACCGCCACATCTTCGTATACTAATGATGAGCCATCTACACTTATTATATTTTCCTCAAGCACTTTGAACAACTCAGCTTCATTTCCGCACCCTTTACTGAAGTCAATCTCATCCTGTACACTCCCTAGATGCAACCTGATCATCATCCTATCGGTGAACTAGTTTTTGCATCCGGTTGATATGCTCCACAAAACACTCTTTGGACTCGATACTATCACCTAATGTGCTGTCCTAATATCGAGGGCGCTCAAAGGCGCATTCATATGCATTTGTGTCTTGATTGTAACGAACGATTGCCTGGTAATTGAACCTGGTCCATAGACAGCAAGGCAGTTCGCTTAAATGACTAAATATGGCAAACAGCAAAGCACTCTTGCTAATAAGTTGCAGTTTAACGCTTTTCCTTCAGATTGTATGGCACGAGGCTTTGGCCATCTGTGCCCCTAATTCAATTGTGGAATCAGATTGGCCGAGAGAATCTGAAGAAGATGTGAGCTCCAACTGGTGCACCAAAAATCGGTCGGTTGTTGTTACCTCTAGTGGAAACACCCACTCGGCTCATACTGTACCTGAGTAGAAACTGTGGGAGGGGACATGACACATCCTAATATAATGGCTCGTTACCATTGCTATCTAGCAAGTTGTCGGCTCTTATTCGCATACTGAGCTATTGCTTTATTTTTGAGCTGGAAGCGATTCATCGAATTAACGAGACAGGATACATTTCCAGTAAGTAGTCAGTTTTTTCTGCTTGAATGGTTCGTCAAATATCCGGGCATTTTTATTCGCAAATGATCAGGTTGCATTTCCTTCATTAGCACTTCTCTTGTCTTTTGCTTGGTTTCCTTTTCGGTTAACTATAGTTTATCAACAAGGTTCGGTAAATATCGATTTTGACCGCAGTGGTGACCTTGGTGCTAGCGTACCATTGCTGCGAAATGCACTCATGCACAGTTACTGTTAACCAACACAACTATTCGCTGGCTTTTGCGCGAACCGTCTTTCGCTCGAAGTGTGGATACGGTAACCGCGAGAATATCTCACTCTTTTGCCTTAATATGGATACATATAACGTTGTTCATATGCACTTTTATGCTCAGTTGGCTCTTTCTTCTTCCATTCGCTGTGTGTCTAGCTAGCTTCTGGACCACAACGGGGCATGATGCGACGCTGCTACCGACCAGAGAGGATGCGCTCAAGATTGTGACGAACCTCCCCGACTCCAGCGATGATTACCGCACCGACGTTGGCTCCCTTCCCCCTACTTACAACCCTGGCACCCCGTATGCCTTGCGTCGCAGTAAGGGATTTAACCTTCTTTATACTCTAGAACCCGAGGTAAGCAACGAACGCTGCGCATCTGGGGCAGTTTTTTATTCATTCTTTGAGCTTCTTGATGTCATACTCTCGAAATCGCATGGGGGGATGCCGAAACATGAATTCACCACCATCGTCGTATTAGCATTCAGTCCATAGAAACTGAGTCCTCGCTTTCTCAGTAACCAACTGGAAATGCCTTCACTATTGAGCTGTATTTCGTTGCAACGAACCTTCTTCCTGTTTATCTCTGTCTACTTACCTTTCACGTTGCAAGTTATCAATCGGACTGCACAACTCTTCACAAAACTAGTAGCTTGATCAGTAATCAAGTACTAGTCCACCATGTGGACAAAGTATAACCACCGGTAGTTAAACCATTGGTCCACAAGCGATTTTGTTAATAGTTCAATAGTGTATGATGGGATAAAAAGCATAACTTTACATGACCCACAGGATGGATATGCAAAAGAAAATTAAAATCAAAATGTTCCAACGTGGAACGTGAAGTATCAGTGGTTAAACCATTGCACTTTATCAAACTGTTTTGTAGCATTTATCACTAAGATGAATGTCGAATGTCGTAATGTCTGGTGCGTTCACCACATATCTTGGTAATGCATTCCAGTGAGAACAGATTCAAAGTGAGTAAAAGTACTTTCTACAATTTAGACGGGAGTGTTGCGTCATTAGTTTCAGGTGGTTGCCTCGACTTTGTTTTAAGGGGCTAGGGTCAACAGTGATGTACATGGGTGCTCGCGCTCAGTTAGTATCCGGTATGTGGGAATGAGATCCCCGCGAAGCCGTCGGTATTCGGAGGAGAACACACCGAGTACACGAAGACGCAGTTCGTAACTTAGACCGGATAGTCCACGCGTTGCCTTTGTGGTTCTTCTTTGGGGTTGTTCCAATAGGCGAATGTCTCGTTTTAAGCATGGACACCAGGCCTGAATTGCATATTCAACGTGAGGGCGTATGTAGGAGTTAATCAGCAATGGTACTAGCCGTCGCTCAAAGGTGCCGAGAGCTCGCCTCAAAAGCCTCAAGTTCAAGTTCGCCACACTTGCTGCTTTCGAACATTGGAGCGAATTGCCAAGACTTTCTTGCACGATTATACCTAAGTCGCGTTCACTAGTCACGTGTTGCAGGACGTGTTGCCCCAAAAGGTATGTGTTGACGAAGCTGCTGCGTACCGTCAGCATGTGGCACTTTGCAGGGTTCAGTGGGAGCTGGTTCCTTTCTGCCCATTCGTTAATCCGAGTCAGATCTTCCTGGAGGTAGACACGGTCGGATGCTGAGCGAATTGCTCTCCATATTTTAGCATCGTCTGCAAATATTTGCATCGGAGATAGAATGTCTGCTGGAAGGTCATTGATGTAGACTAAAAACAGTAGCCGACCGAGGACGGATCCTTGTGGTACACCACTGGAGACGCACAGGCTTACAGAGTGAGTGTCGGCTACTCTTACCTTGATTGCTCTGTCGTGTAAGTAGTCTTCTAACCGGGTGAGCAAGGAACCGTTGATACCGTAGGCAGCAAGCTTTTGGAGCAGAACGAAGTGATTGACCCTGTCGAATGCTTTAGAAAAATCCAAGTAAATCACATCTATGGGGACTCCTTCATCAGCCGCCCTGGTCCATGAGTCCCGAGTAATCAGCAAATTGGTAAGACAAGATCGTCTGCATCTGAAACCATGTTGGGCATTAGAAATCATTTGTTGACTTTCAAAGTATCGCGTCAGTTCATCTGCGATTACCGATTCCATCACTTGTGATAAAACAGGAAGGAGTGTAATAGGTCGGTAGTTGGCAGGATCCGATCGCTTACCTCCTTTGTATATTGGAGTGATAATTCCATTTTTCCACTCAGATGGGAGTTAAGCAGACCCTGGAAAAAGGTTGCAAGTGGTGTTGCTATGGTGGGAGAAAGGGTTTTCAGTACTTTTGGGCAGATCATATTGACTCCAGTGCCACTGTACTCCCGGAGAGATTATAATTTGCTTGCAACAGGTGCTGGAGTAAAGGTGATGCTGGATAAGCCAAAGACATTGGATGGGAGTTGATAGGGCGAAGTATACAAGAAGGGCAGTCGCACAGACTGTTCTAACCACAGGGGTATTAGCCTAACGCCAATTGTGACAAAATTATTGGCATCGATTATCGTTCGTCGCCTCACTGCGGAACGGGAATCTCGGATTAGTGAAGAGCAGGCTGGTTTCCGCCCAGGACTTGGCTGTATAGACCATACATTCACTTTGCGGCAGGTGCTAGAGCAGCGCCACGCATACCGCAGATCGACAATAGCTGTGTTCCTCGATTTCAAGAGTGCGTTCGATTCAGTCGATCGATCGATTCTGTTCGCAATACTTGCGCGGAAAGGTGTTCCCACGAAATATGTGAACATCCTTCGTGCTCTATACTCGAACACTAGAGGCCGCGTCAGAGTCTACGGTGACCTATTGGATACCTTTCCGACCACAAGTGGCGTTCGTCAGGTTTGTCCGATTTCCCCATTTTTGTTCAATTTCGTCGTGGATTCTTTCCTGGAGTGTTCCCTTGCGGAATCTCACGATATAGGCGTTGAAGTGCTGCATGGTGAAAGGTTAGTTAATCGAGATTATGTGGACGATATCGTCTTGCTTTGCGACGATGTTGGAGCGGCACAATCAACCCTGAATAGCCTGTCCAGAGTGGTCCCATTATTTGGGATGCGCTTCGCACCTTCAAAGTGCAAAGTGTTGCTGCAGGACCACCAGCCACTTGATGACCCCTTGACGCTTGCTAACGAGGAACTCGAGGTGGTTGATCAATTCACTTATCTTGGCAGCTGCGTCAGCAATTGTGAGCGCATAGTAACTGACGTCAGCTCACGCATTGCAAAAGCCAGAGCTACCTTCGTGAACCTGCGACATCTTTGGTGACAGAAGGGAGTTTCCCTCCGTCTGAAATGCGGCGTTTACAAGGGAGGGCCTTTCTGCTTTATGGTAGTGAGACTTGGCCCCTTCGGTCTGAAGAGCTGAGGCGCCTTCAAGTCTTTGATCATCGTTGTCTGCGAAGCATTGCTGGAGTCGGATGGCACCAGCGTGTCCGCAACGATGATGTGCGTAGGCGAGTACTAGGTGGTGATAATCATGCTAGCTCCCTAGAACAACAGATGGCACTGAATAAGTTGCGTTGGGTCGGACACGTGCTACGTATGCTTGGTCACCGCTTACCTAGGAGGGCCTTGTTTAGTCTGCCAGGTGTAGGATGGCGCAAGGCTCGAGGTAGACAGAAGTTGACGTAGCAACGGGAAATGAAGTCACTGACGACCCAACTGGGTGCCGTTGGTGCGTCTCGCCTTCCGGTCTGGAGTCCACGTGACTCGCCTTGTGCTTGGCTCGAGACTTTACAGAACATGGCTCGCAGTAGACACCAGTGGCGCATCTGCTGCCGGCTCCTAATCGGGTTGTCTGTTTAAAGTGTGTTTGGTGCTGAGTTATCTGCTAGGTAATGCCTGATTATGCCGCGTGGCAGTGAAAGCCGCAAGGAAGCTGTCTCGCCGATGCCGCCTTATGTTTGCACAATAGCCAGCTGTTTGTGACGGTATGTTGTCTACACAAGGTGTAGGCGCCTTGACCCTGAATGTTTGCTTAGGGCATTAAGGTTTTCAGTTAAGTCCCGCTTCTCTCCCTCTTCTTATTCTTTATTTCATAGGTCCTCATGGTTGTATGGCAGCGATGCATCAGTTCAAATGGCTGATGTACTGCTGTTGGTGATGATGATAGGGCGAAGGTTCAATAATATTTGTAGCTACCGAGCTAAATTGCAGGAGTAGAGCATTCGCGGCATCCACAGCAGTAGTTGTTAGGCCAGTGGCCGTCTTGAGTGTTGTTATTCCTGGCTTAACCTTTCTTTTGCCATTCACAAATCTGTGTAGTAGTTTGGTGTTACTCGTAAATTTCTCTACTATATTCTCCTGCCATTCGTACTTATCGACTCTTATGAGCGACGTGCGGTAATTTCTGATAACTTTGTAATTCTGCCATGTGATATCACGTGCGCTTAGCAAATGTTGCCTCCAGATTTCATCTCCTCTGTTGATCCATTTACGTGTTATGCTCCGGATCCACGTATTGGTCCGGCGCGATGCTCGTAATGGTACAACCTTCGATGCTGATTGTATGACCCAATGAATTTTGTCTTTCAGTTCATTCCACGCGTCATTCGCTGAGTTGTGCTTCTGTAGGTCCCAGTCAACGGTTGCTGCTAATTTGTGCAGCTTAAAATAGTCCGTAATAGTTCGTTGAGTCGCTCTTCCTTAGCAACAATACTGGCATAACACACATAACCAAATGCTAGAACTGAATGGTCGCTACGGTCCAGGGGAGGATCGTTTGCTACTGACTCAACCCTCAACTCTTCATTAGTCAGGATTAAGTCCAGGAGTGATGGCTTGTTTGAACCGCGGTGTCTGGTTGGTTGATGCATATGGTTATACAAAACTGCCATATCCATGAATTCGAGGAGTTTTGATTTAAATGATGGCCCATTAGGGGACATTGATGCTATTGAAGGAACATTAAAGTCACCCATTATAAGGTAGTGAGAGTACTTTTGTGAAACAGCATAGCGGCACAAATAGTGCCGGTCTTCTGAAGTTTTATGAAACGGGTGTTTTTACTGTTGGCTGATCTGAGATAGGTACAACCAAGACTGGCTTATCTGTATCTGGGGTCTGTACTAATTGAAGGAATGGTCTTAACCGTACTTCTGCTGGCCCAAGTTTCCTGTTGTCATGCCATGCTTGGATTGCCACTGATACCATTTCGGGCGCAGCCAAGGTAACTTTCCAAATTCGTGGCCCGCTACCTTGAAGTTTGTGGAAGCAATTAGACGGGTGACGTCAAAAGCCACGACATTCTGCATGTCGTAGAGTTCTGCGATGTACCTCCATTCTTCGATGTCTTGCTTCTGTCGTTCACTGCTATCGTCATGCTTCAATTCTGGCACACCATGAACCAGTACCACTTTCTTCATCTCATTTTGACGTGACGAACTATTGTTGGATTTCCGCTTCTGTCTTTCTGCCCATGGCCTGTCAGGAAAAATGCGGGCACTGACAGAAGAGTTCACTAGAATGTGGCTTGTTAAGAGAACATCTTCCAGGTCGCGCGTGTTGCCAAACGTCACTCGCAGTAACCGAGGTTCCCCTACGTGTGAAGATGATGGATTTCGTGAAAGGCGTGTAAGACTAGTTGGGAGAACTTTCAGTCCGAGTGCGCAGGTTATTTCAGCCCAGCGGTTTTGCTCCTCGGCTTGTCTACCTTTTAGCGATTCGCTAGTGGGTTCTGGGACGTTTGAACATATCACTGTCATCGCCTTTTGATTGCGTAGTAATTGTTTGTTTTGCAGTTCCTTGTGAACGTAGGTTTGTCGAGTTGAGATGTCTGGCTTGTCTTCCGTGGACGATAGGCCAAGGCTACAGCAAGATTTTTTACGTGCAACGCCGTTAGTTGCACTATCTGTGGGGGTCAATTGTTGTTGCCCAGCTACTGACGGAAGTGATCGTGCAATTTGTGCTTTGGAGCATTACGTGAGACTTCGGAGACCGTTCAACCGGCCTGTTTTCACTGCTGTTTTTCACTTACCTTGTTTGCCTTTCGCTGGACTGGGTAGCATTGTTGCTAGGGTGCTTTTGCCTTTTAACAATTCGGGGATTCGGGCTACTTAATGCTCTAATCTGCAACTCGTTCTGAGATTTTCCCTCCCAATACCGCGATCAGTTCCTTTCGGTCTGCCGACGTAACAGCCAAGGTTTCACACCTTATCGTAAGCGTTTGAACAATCTTAATTATCGGACTATCTGAGCATAAGTCACAGAACCACAACCTATCTGTCGATACGCTGTTAGTTCCGTTAAGTGTAATGTTCACATTTGTTGCGTCGTAGAAATAGACACAGAACGAGCACGTGATTTTCGTGAGGATATCAGTTCCCCGCTTGTCTGGGCTGCGGTTGACCTTGGGTTTGTTGCTCACTGGATTCCCGGTTGATAAACTTCTCCGACCCATGGTATGCACTTTTAGGTTGCGCTGGTCATGCCGCTTGGGCTGCCTCAGTTGTCTGCTCCGATCAGCGGGTTTGGTGGTGGTGCGTCACTAAGCGCACGAGTAGCCAAAATCACACAGGCTTTGTGCAGTGAAATGCACGTAAAAATATAGTGGTAACGTGAGATGACGAAAATGCCTGTACCTATGGTATACAGTGGTGCACAGTACTAATTTCTATATTGTCTGACAGCCTTAAAGAAGCTCTGTCGAAAGGTATCCCAAAGGTGCTGATGAAAGACAACTAAGCAGTTAGTCAAGTTGGCCTTAGTGAATAGACTTCCGAAGATTTTGTTTGTGATGTACCGGCGTGTCGTTGTACTTACTTCAAAAATATAGACCCCGTTGGATAGGGCTCAGCGATTTGAATCGATTGAGCGTACTCCGAAGATGTGCAACAAAATGTGAGGGGATAAGTCCAATTTAACACAGAGCACAGGATTGCACGATTAGCGCACACACGCTGACAAGGTCATGACCTCTGGTGGAAGTTCACCCACTATAACGTCGATCGCCAGCTCGCGATGGTATTGTGAGCGATATCGCACTTTTCTGAAATATTTTTTCTCTTTGCGGCATCAGCAGTACGCCGGTGCGCAGTACCAACGCTTTGCTGCCGCGCAACCATCAAAAGTCGCACGTGGGCTAAGCATATTGCGAGAGTCGCTCTGCCCCTACTCAGATTTGAACCCGCGCCGTCATATTACAAGACAAGCTTGTTACGTTTAAGCTACGGGCCTGAGTTGACTGCCCAACACCACTGTGGTGATCGGTGCGCTTGCGTCGAGTTCGTGTCGACTCCTTAAGTGTCCAATGCTTCGCCGGGCAGTTGAACTACAGCTTAGTTTACGTAGAACTGTGAAACTACAAGTGTTATTCTCAATTAAGATCCCCTCACTACTTAAAACGCCTTCGCATATGCGACTCATTGAGTTTCTGATGCTCTAATGCGCTTGAGTATTAAGACAGCTATCCGTAAATAACTGAGATGGAATGTGTTTGTGATGCCCATACTCGTGGTCCCATTCTATGATGCCTTTGCGGGTATTTACCCACTGTCAACATTTCCACACCAACTACCATCTTTCATCGTCCTCTACACACACACACACACACAGCTTGAATCAATGGACCTTTTTACGATTGCATCTCTTTCGATACTTTCCTGATCTGTTTATCCTTTTTGAGGAACCTCATCGCAACCGGACCAAGTCAGACAGCCATCACATATTCGGATCGGAGATGAACGGCCGCTCCAGTAACGCAAATCTCTCGGAACTTGCTGGGTTTAAACTCATGACCTTGCTCTTACGAGTCCGCAAGTTAAATACACTGATTCATGTCCGCTCGCAGCCGTCACTCATTGTTCATTGGGTTAAGTCGCTGAATCCCAAGAGCAAGATCGTAGGTTTAAAAACAACAATATTTGTGAGATTTGCGCTGCTAGCATGTTCAAACGAGACGAAACGGCCTTCCAGCACCTGTGCGATGTGTGATGGCTGTTTGGCTGTAATAAACCATTTTAAAATGGAAAATCCCCTGCTTATCTCCAAATTGTTCATACTGGGAATGTGCGCTACCCAGCCACACTTCGTCGGTTTATGCTATCCTCAGCCTCAGGTGCTGCATCATGCGCATTAACGGTGCGCTCGTCTCTGGCAACATTTAGAGAGGAAAACTACGGTACATTTTCTTTCGTCCTATGTTTCTACTCGAGTTTGACTACAACTGTGACACCTTACAAATATAGTATCATAAACAGTTTGGTTAACGCGACCCGGCCTCCCGTACTCCATTTAGACAACTTCATAAAGTGACACTCTACTGTAGTATTTGTATATCCTGTTTGAGGAGCTTACAACTTAGTCTTTAGATTGCCTCACAACGGCACATCATCTAACAAGTGAGTTGCAGTGCAGTGGTATAACCGGAACAGAAGTAAACTACATACCACCTATCCATACTTTATAGCACCTCGGGCATCACGGCCACTTGGGAAGACACCGTTGTGCCTGCGAAGCAAGTTCGCCCCGTAAGATGCGTTTTCAACATTATGCGTTTATTGTTTATAAACTAGTAGTATTAAAATAACATTGAAACACGAACCTGTTCATGTCAATCAGCTGGGTACCACACAACTAGGAAAGAGGCGAACAGAATGTGAGCTGCCTACCGTTACGACGGGAAAACTATCAGCTCTGACGCATATTATGTGTTAAAATGTATGGTGGTGGGAGATGGAATGCGTCATACCCGCTTATTCACTTGGGCCACGACCATCATCCAGTAGTATTAGCCGGTTGTGGGTTTGACACTTGTAGGATACTGACTTCCACTTGGATAAAACTGTCGTCCAGTTCTTCCCGGTTATGAGTTGTCTGTCATAATTCTCATAGCCACTGTCACGATAGTAACCGTCAGTAGTTCATCACCATTAACTTCATTTAATAGTAAGTTTCCTACAATTTTGCCTGTGAATGAGTCACAATGCATTTATAGGCCAGTTACTATTGAAAACATTCTTATGAACTCGAGTATTGCAGAATGCAGATATTTTGGTAAACTATATTCGTCTCATGAGTATCATATTATGCGTGCGAGTTAGCTAGCATACAATAAAGTCCAGATTTCTTGATTTTAACACATTTTCTACCTACAGCGGCGCTCTTCATGTCCTAATGTTACCAATTTTTCCAGTTCCCTCTTTCCCTAATGGATCTATTGATTGCATGCCCTACAATTCATTGACCTTTCGATTTGGTTTTTAAGTGAATAAATCGCTCTGTTACCATAGGGGAACCTGTTTACTCCACCTGCCTTTTATAACACAATAATATTTGGCAAGTTCATCTTTGATGCACTTATATTTTGACCGAAGCAAAGTCGGATACCGTCATCCGGGACAACCGGTCTCTTGTGCCGAACTTCAAACTTCACTTCGCTTATCTTTTACATCACCCTACAACGTTATTTAACCACACAGACAGTATCAAAACCCCCGGTTGACACGTGGTTTCTTCATAATGGGCACTCTGTGTACCAGGTTCGTTTCAATGAACCCGTCTGTACTGCAAAAATTCGTTTTTCTAAAAGCGTACTGTGTCTTGGTTCGCATTGCTACCATTGAGCCAGGGGCCAGTCAAGATGTGCATGTTATGTACTTTCTTTTAGAAAGACTCACCTTCCTACTCACTTAAAGTTCCCAGTGCTCATTCGGGTAACATGCCTATCTCCTCACAAGCCCACACTCGTGCGGCCCATCTCTTTGGTTCGCGACGAGTCACCCAACAAAATCTAGTTCACCGTAATTTGGCCAGCTATTTTCACTTAAGGTCACGTCTCGCCCGTTTCTACCAACTCACTTGTGCTCCACCAGTAACCGCGTTTCGCGTTCTGCGGCATATATGATACTTACTCCTCAGGGATGGATTCCTTCATACCTTTTGTTGCACCAGACTCAGGATATCGTTTGCCCTGCACCTGGTGGCCCTCTTATCTATCCGCGTTTGGCGCTAGCCTGGCCTTTCCTTTCCGTCTGCGGTCCGTTCAAACACCATCCCAACGGCTCGTCCTCCACCACTTCGTGCGTAGCTCTGTGGCAATGGCCACCACCAGGCACGTTGGACAGGCGAACACCAAAGTTGATCTCCCCTTGTGTGACCATGTCTCCTGTAGCTGGTGGGCACTGTGTCTGGTCCGCTTTCCGTGGTGGTCCAGCAACGACCGACTCCACTGTATCCGGCCAACTCCACCTCCTGACGGCGGATTCAACAGGCTCATTGGAGGTTTGGGATTTGGTCAAAGGTGAGTCCTGAGTTGCATTCACTTCCATCGATCGCCTCAGCTAAATGCGTTCTTCATGTCGCAAACTTTGGTCACACGGTTCTCTTGACCATTTGCTTATGAAGTGCAAACCGCAACACGCATCCTCCTTGTGTTACTCCGATGAGAAACTCGTGTACTGTTTCCGCTCTGAGGAGGACCACATCCACCGCAGTCCTTCATTTTCACTACTTTTCAAACTCAAGACTGAGTTGGTCTAACTCTCGGTTCCCCTTGATCAGTATTTCTTCATGTCCGGATCCAACACCTGCGCTGACCTTAGGTGGGATTCAGCTATCTGTCCAGTAATTCAACCACAGGGGCGGCGAAATCAACGCTTGTTGAAAAAATGAGGCCAACAATCGTATAACGAAAGCTCAGGGCGCTTTTTCTCAGATTTACTCCTTATGGCACCGGTACCATACCACCCACGCCTTGGAGCTTAGAGTCTGCAATGCTGTCTTCTATTTAACCCTGCCATACAGTTGCAAAACATCGCCCATTAGATCGACAGACATAAAGAGAGACTAGTTGCGTTCGACCATCGCGGCTTAGATCCCATCTGGTGGGAACACCACGTGAGCAATGGACGTGTTCGCTGTATCGTTTATGGCGGAGGGAAAATTAGTGAACCACTCGAAACCGTCACTCCACGCCAGGGGTACTCAAACATTTTGGCCTGTGGACCCCTTTTTAGTGATACTTTGCACGGTTGATCCCATGACATATTGTTAATCACAGGACGAATACTAATAAATACTGTGTCAACTGTACGCCATAACGACGCTTCGCTGCCGTGCGACTACCACCAGCCGCACGCGGGCTGAGTATACCGCGAGGACGTCTACGCCTATGCGGATTTGAACCTGCGCCACAAGATTACGAGACAAGCTCGTTACCTCTAGGCATTAATGAAATGAGAGTGAGACACAGTATCGTGGAAACGTTTATTACTGTACACTGAATTAACACGGGTGTTCATTAATTTTGGGGGAAATGAAAGCTGTTGAAAGTAAGTAGAAAATAACGCACATTAAGGTTTAACGTGGGGGATGAAATTGTTTCTGACAATCAGCGCTGACTTGTCTGATGTTTGGTGTTATTAAGGAAAGCTGCAACCTCGTATCTGGTTCAGCTTCAAGTCTATTGCGGTACTTGCTTTTGTATAAGTGCAATGCGGAAATGCACTTTCACACAGTTAGATTGTGGCAAATGGGAGAATCAAGGCGACAGCTGTCTTCGCTATGACAGAGTACTGGTGAATCTGTTCCTGAAGGGAAGAATCTGATATCATGTTGATGAATTTCTCATATTGAATAGATGTGAAAGGAGGGGAGGATTTTTCGTGCAGATAAATGGGGTTTTAACCCATAAAAATTCTTTCAGTTTTCTTCATCTTCGCTGGAGAAATACTGAGACAAGATTTTTTTACCAGCTCTTCCACATGCTGCACAGTTTCCTCACAGATCCTCTGGGATTTTTGTGGCTTCTTCATCTCTTCCAAAATGTCTTTTATTGCCGGAACGCTATCAAGATTTCCACTACAAACAGATATAGCCCAAAACTCTAATCTTTTTTTGAACCCTCGAATTATACCATTAGCGATGAACATGGTCGCAGATTTTCCTTACAGTACTAGGTTTATGTCATTTTTTATGAAGATATCAGACAAATAGGCAAGTCTTGCCAAGCACTTTCTGTCATTCATCCGGAACCGTAAATCCAAACGGTGATCCATGACGAAAGCAGACTGATGTATGTGATTCTAACAAACGCAGTAATATTTTATCACGGGAGAGTCATCTGACTTCAGTGTGGATCAGTAAAGGTGTGTGAACACTTTCCATATAGTCACACAGAATTTTGAACATTCCGTTGTTTCGAGGCCGATATTTAATGAAATTAATTATTTTCACTGCCTCATCGAAGACAGTTTTGAAATTGGGTGGCATTATTTACGCTTAGTACTTGTCATTTAAGAACACGTTGTCTACTTGTGTAGGTTTTTGCAACGGCTTTGAGCCTTGTCACAATACCAGTAACCTTTCTTATCATTGCTTTGGCACCATCAGTGCAAATATCAATGCAGTTGTCTCATGGAAGTTATTTTCTTGCATAAGGTTATTCACGATTTTGAACATCTCAGTGCCACTAGTGTTCTTCAGTAGAGGTTCACACGAAAGCATTTTTTCTCCCAGGGATAGTAGGGGTTGTTATCTCACAAGCATAATAACCACGGCAAGTCCTTCCACATCTGTCGACTCATCCATTTGAAGAGAAAAGTGGGTATACCTGACGGGTGAGACTAACTTCTCCATAACAGCAGCTGCTAGTGTCTCAATTCCTAGAGATACCGTATAACTTGATGGCGGTATTACAGACAGTTGTTTTGCTGCTTTATCATTATCATTTCGACTGCACATGGATTGATACGTTTCTCGGCTATTGTGTGAGGTGATCCTCACAGTGCAATACATTAACTAACCATGTAAGATGCTTCATTAGCCTCTTCACTTACAGTTTGGGACGCGTGAAGCATGTGTTCTTTGGGTGTTCAACAGTTCATCTCGCCCGCTTTCAAAGTACTCCTTTTTTCTGCCTTTATATACCGCATGCGATTTTCAAAATGCCGCCGTATTTTTATACGCATCATGGAATTTTGTTACGCAACACACATTGTGGGAAACTGCTCAACTCCATAAATCCAAGAGCAAGTTTAAGGTCATTGTGTTTACACAAGCTACGCTCTGCACAGTTGAATGTCCGATCGCATCACGTAGTACAGACGTGTATCAGACCTCAGTTTCTGCATTCTCAGAAGGCACATTTCATGGCCCAACCATTACCACATCTGAATTCGACACTGAATATTATTGTGATATTTAGCAGTGTCCCAATCTCCAACCAACGATCCATGTTGATGTTGTATTTTCAAATGCTGAAATGGAAATAGCAAATTCAACACAAGAATCCAGAACCCACCTCGAATTTGATTAATATGATAAACTGGACTTTGAATAAAGTTTAACATACTGTAAACAAAGCAGCCACCTTTTTTAACGTCCCGGAGATAGTTTCTCTCCAATTGCAAAATGAAATGACCACACACCTAAAACACAGAAATATTCACCCTTTCCTTCTGGTCTTCTGTGAGTGGGATGGCGTCAATGGGCATCTCTTTCCAGTTTGCGGATTTCGGAGGATAGCAATTTTCGGAATGACCGCATAAACGGCCATATCTTGTGGCTTACTTTCCCCTCCCCACAGGGAACAAAGCCTGGATTATGTGTGCTTGCGCAGACGTAGAATGACTCAGCCAATCTCTACCCATCGCATCACAGTAAGATTACCACACTACCCTTCTGACTGATGACTGCTTTGTTCACTCATATTTTAAGTCCCTGTCGAAACCAGGTTCCTACATGGAAGGAGTGTGTTTTACATGGACCGTGCACAAGTTGGTTGTCGGTTTATAAGATAAAACGAGCACGTACAGGAAGCTGTATGGTAGAATTATAACATTTCGGGAAATCCCGCGGACCCCCTGAGAGTAGCCCTCGAACCTCTGGGTGGTCCGCGGACCACATTTTGGGAAACACTGCTCTATGCACCAGGCTTCGATTGCTGGCTCATTTGTTATGCATGTCAGTACCCCGACCTCCGCAACGTGCGTTACTTGCGTGACCAAGTTCTGTATGAAAGAGGAGGGGGTTGGCTGATGACTTCCTCAAGAGGAATGAAGTATGTCGCTTCGAACTTGGCACCGGTCTATGCTCCTTTACTCCCGGGTTGGAGTACCAAAGACGACGAACGTGTTTAGTTGGATGCAATTTTTGACATGGCGGAAAGTCAACCTCATTGGCGTTTGTGTTGTGGGTTACTTTGTCCCTTCCCCTCCAACTACGACCTCAATCTCAACGCAGGATACACACCAAGGCATAGCATATTTTCCTTTTTTCTCTCATCAGAGTTATATTGCAGCACAATAGCCGATGTGTTTCTCATCTCGGGTTAACGTGTGAAATGATGATGATGATTCTTTCTTCGCCTATATTATCACCCGAGAACATCCAATAAACAGTTATCTTTGTTCATCAAATGTCTACGAGCATTGCCAACGTCTGGTAGAGCCATCGGACGTGCAATATCGGAGCTTGCTGTCTGGTGTTTTGCAGCGAGATCTGTAACATTGTACTGGACCCATTAAGGCGCCTGAACTGCTCATGTTGGTTAAGTCACACTTGTTAACCTGTCGGTTGACTGCCTACCGAAAACACGCTCGGCGAAATGTCATTGTTGATTGTTTGAAGCACGACTACCGCTGCTTCCTTGAACAAAGATCAAAGAATTAGCTGTGTGTGTGTGCAACGGCGCAGTCTTGCCAAGGATTTTTGTTCTATTTCGTTGATAACATATTGAAATCGACCCGGGTACTTTCGCTGAGATGCATCTCTCCTTAGCGTTGGAACATCTGAATGTCATCCCTACCTTTTATGCGCAACATTTCAAGGATAATAAATCCAACTATTGTCAGGATATTTTTTGGGTTTCAATCGTGTTCTACTGACCTGTATCGACTCCTAGCAATAAGTTCCTGGAGCTTTTCAACACTTCTTATAGTTGCTGCTTGTTGCCTCCCTGATATTCGGACGTCATCCATTAAGATCTCCGGTGCCTTTACAATTTCCTGTGATAGCAACCTGTGACGCATGGATGAGTTTCTCTTATGAACGGATGCCCGTACTCTGTCGAAGCGATTACCGTGAAATTACTTTTGTTTCTAAATGTTAACGAGATGTCTGTAGTGGGGTTTTGTATTGATGACAAATTGGCATTTGTCATTCCAAAGGATTCTTGTAATGTAATCAAGCGTACCTCGCAGGGGCTTCGGGAAAAGAGCTGGGCTCGTAATTTTACAACGCATCCTCGTATATTCATTGAATTTCTGTTGCAATGTCAAGCAAAGTGACGAGCTTAACTCCGAGGAATCCATTGATCGCCTCTGCTGTCTTATTGGGAACGATCAAATGTCTCCCACCCACTCCTGTTACTACAATTACTTGGTTTACACTTTTTAACACTAGCTCGACTATTGCGCTCACTATTTTTACACCTGCTATTATCCCGGTTTTTCTCAGAAACTCTGCCGACTCAGCATGGCTACTAACACCGCTTGCTTGATATCAAACTGAATTCTGAAGTTGTTTATGCACGCCTTCAGTTGTCCCTAACCCAATGTCCACTATTTGTTCACACTCTTGCCACACTCGGACCGATTACGTGATCTGCCCGTTTGTCAGGCTCAAAGATATTGCACTTTAACGCCGTGCGCCACTGTGGCGGTGTCCTACGATGTTGCGCCGTTCCAACTTCGTCCACCTCCGCTTCAATGGACAATCAACAGTCAGTCGTGCTTACCGGTGGTTCGAGTGGGGTGATCGGATGCTGGGATTGTCGAGTTGGCACCGATCCGACACGTCCGCAGAACACTTTCACAACCTCTCGCTCTCTCCTCTTGGTAAGTATTTTCCCACTGACTCCTGCCCGTTCGTGTTCAATTATACCGTAGTGCTTTCCTCTTTAAAAATGGTTATTGCAATACGATGATCAATTAATGATCGCACACGTATCTTTAGTTGAAGTCACCTATGCATTGTCTGCCTAGCATAAGCACTTTTATTTCCTGTCCTATTGGTGTGGTTCTCCATGCTTCGCTTCAAACTTGTCGCGCTTCTTCACTTTAATTTGAGCTAATTGTGGTGTGAATCCAGGTCTTGGTCGCTGGCAAATGCCTTGACCACATGGTTGCCATCTTCGGAAACCATCATTCGATGCATCAGTTAGGGATCGGTTATCAACGGACGGTAAATCACAAGTTTGCCTTCCGTAATACAAACAGCTAGTCCATAGTCAAGCACGACCTTCATTCTCCGTCCTAATATGTTTGCGCTTTTTTGCCCACAATGTACCTGAAAAGCTTGAGCAAAAAGGTTTATTGGAGAATTTATTTTCGGTGATAGCTAGAGGACACTTCTCTTTAAATCAGGTCAACTACATGAATTTCACTGATCATTTGTTAACACGGTGGATATTCAACTTTGACATCAATGTAAGGATTACTTGCTTACTCAAACATGCAAGAGATCGATTATACTACACACGGTACTAAAGAGTAATAGAGCAATAAAGCAAGACATGCTACAGTGTCAGCTCATACGGATTCTCTGTTGACTAGAAGGTATGCTCTACCAGCTGCAAGATGATCCTCCAAAATTCGATCGCAATCACGATTCTTTATGTAGCATTAGGATGGACCTGATGCGCCAATCAGCTCCCCTGGTTCAGCACAGACAGAAAACGGATAACAGACCGAGAATCGTCGTGGAGAACTTTCATAGCCTCAAGCACCGAAGTGGCTCATGTTCGGTTTAGGTTTAAAATGTTTTACTGGTTCACTGGCCCACACAGCACACGGAAGTTTCCTTCCATTCCTCTGACTCTCTTTCTCTTCCTACATTTTTTGTTACTCATGTCTATTGAGCAAGTATATATATATATATAATATATATATATATATATATATATATATATATATATATATATATATATATATAGTTGGCGGCATCCGGTTTCGGATTCGCCTGTCACTGTGGCAAGCCACAGGACGCCTGCGCCTAGAGAGGGACCATGGATGGCTTGCGCTGCACCACCCACAGCTCCAACCACACCCCCTATATCCAGTGTAAACCCGAAGGAGTAAGACCGGGAGGCATGAAGATGGGAGCCACATTGCATCAACGGAGCCGGCCCACACTCCTTCACAGGTAAACACAAGCACACTGTATTTGGGAATCAAGCGCACACAAGGCGGTGGCTGGACCGTAGTCCGCTCCACACTGAGTGCATGGAACCACTCTTCGAGCCTAACACGGCCACAAGGACCGTGTACCCCGTCCCCTCCGGCAACGACAAACTGTCTCCTGGAGCCAGTATGGACGAGATAGTGGGTAATAGACAGGTAGGCACCTTGTCAACATGCACATCAAGCGCTGCCACACCGGGACTATCAAACAACAGCCAAACACTTGAGAGAGAGACAGAAAGAAAATAACTCGATTGATGCATACGGAAACGGTGACATAAACCTTAAGTTAATGAGCATATGAAATAAGTTGTTTACAAACGAGTCCTAGATAAGTTCACGAGGTGAGAAAGTATACTATACGGAAATTCCACGAACAAAAAATGTTATGGAAATCGAATACAATTGGCTTAAGCGAGGTGTGCAAGTTAATGGAATAGAGTACAGGTAGACATTTATATGAGAAAGAAAAGCATTAAGACAAAATTAAAAACCCACCACCTGAAATAAAGAGACTTAGCATGCAAGCACGCGGTTAGTAAATCGAATGCAGCGTATCTACAGACGCTGCGCCGGTTTTGAATACTTCTCTGCAGGACCCGTCGTCGCTTCTGTAGTGGTCCCGAGTGGCCTCGCTCATGGCTCACTAGACATTAGACATTTATAGGAGAAAGAAAGGCATTAGGACAAAATTGAAAACCCACCACCTGAAATAAAGAGACTTAGCATGCAGGCACACGGTTAGTAAATCGAATGCAGCGTACCTACAAACGCTGCGCCGGTTCTGCCTATGTTCTTTGCAGAACCCGTCGTCGCTTCGGCAGTAGTCCCGAGTGGCCTCGCTCATGGCTCACTAAGCCTGCCTGACTAAGGCACTCGCGACCGCATGTTCTACAGCACCATGCGCTTGATGTCGATGGAGTACAATTCATCGGTGCTTGCCGCTTCCGCAATTGCCGCTTCTTCTCTGCATGCATGAGAGCTTTCTCCCGCACTTCAGCAACTGCCTTCGTGATTAGATCGCGCCATGCACGCCGATCAACCGCCTTCGATTCCCATGATCTGCAATCAAGATTAGAACGTGTGAGGCTCACTTTAATCATGTCCTGGTAACGTAACTTTGGTTTCCCCACGTGCCGCTTCCCAATACTCAGCTGTCCGTATAAGAGTTGTTTCGGTATCCGCGTCGAATCCATACGGCTCACATGACCGAGCCATCTCAGGTATCGCAATAAAAGTATGCAGTCCACTACATACATCCCACTTCGGCGCAAAACTTCCGTGTCTGCAACTCTGTCGCCCCAACCGATCCGCAAAGTTCGTCGCAGACACTGCTGATGGAACCGCTCCAGATATCGCACATCCCGCCAGTACATCGTCCACGTTTCACTGCCGTATAGAAGAACGGAGAGCACCATGGATTTATACACCATCACCCTCGTGCCAATGGTAAGCTGATGGCTGTTCAAAACTCGGTACTCAAGCTTCCCGAATGCTGCCACTGCCTTCGACACGCGAATACGCAGCTCACTGTGTAGCTGCTGATCAGTGAACATCACACTCCCAAGGTAGCTGAAGCGGGAGGTGGTTTCCAATACTTCAGCACCAATGCTGATTTGCGGCAATATTGAAGATTGCACCTCCGTTGAAGGCTGAAAGAGACAGACAGTTTTGCTTGTGTTGATGGTGAGCCCGAATTTGGCCGCTGTCGAAGCCAGAGCACTAGTCATGTGCTGCAACTCATCCGCGCTGTGTGAAAACAACGCACAGTCGTCAGCAAACAGCAACATACGGATAGTTGTCTCACAGATTAGAGTTCTCGCACCGAAACGACGTATGTTCACCAACCCACCATCAATACGGTGCTCCACACGAACACCGTAAGCACAAGCGGCATCAAAAGCACAAGACAACAGTGCATGAAAATACATATTAAACAGGGCAGGAGCTAAGACACAGCCTTGCTTCACACCAGAGACAACTGCAAAGTCATCCGAGGTCTCTCCACTCAGCTGCACCCTCACTCGCATACCACTGTGCAGACATTCAATTAAACTTACAAACTTACGCGGGCAACAAAATTTACCCAACACCAGCCACAATGCCTCGCGGTTCACCGTATCAAATGCCTTGGTGAAATCAACAAAAAGCGAGTACAACGGCTGGTGTCGTTCTCTGCACTTCTCTTGCAACTGACGAGCCGCAAACACCATATTTATAGTGCTGCGACCCGAACGGAATCCACCACTGCTCTTCCGCCACGTTAGGTTCCACAACCTGACTGACGAGACGGTTGAGCAGGATTCGGGCAATCACCTTGCCCCACCACAACTCAGCAAGTTGATGTCACGATAATTCGTGTAACATTGCTTGCTACCCTTTGCCCTTGTACAGTGGTAGCACAAGGGCATCCTTCAGCTCAGGAGGCACCTCCTCGTCAATCCACACGCGTTGCACCAGTGGTACAGCACAGTCAACAATGTGGTCCGCCGTGTTTCAATACTTCAGGTGGGATCCCATCGGCCCCGGCACGCC